ATTTTTCGATTATACGACCAGTGCAGAGATATTGGCATTGCATTCAAAGGACTTTTTTGAATGTTTAGTTGATCTGTTTTCGTTGATAAAACCAGCTTCCAAGAGAAAAGGCCAGCTTTGTTTTGATGGTACGTCTTGGACACTCGACCAAACGATGGTACTGCAAATCATTCTTTATCCTCTTCCCCAGACTGAGAGTTTGAAAAAATATTCGTAACATTTTGAGGGTTTTATATGAACCTTGGACATTTATGCCACCAGACTATTGTTTTTTACTTCTGTCACTGTCCCCACTCAAGTATGTTTTATATTGTTGCTTTGATTGTTCTGTGTCAGAACAGCCCTGAAAGATTAAAACATTAAATTTGTGAATGCAAATATTTACAGCAGAAATAGATTTTTGGAAAAACAGATGATGTTAAACCTGAGCCTGTTTGTGATGTGTCTTCATGGTCACTGCATGTTGACTTACGGCTGTGTCTGAAACGATATCGACAAATTAAATCTGCTCTTTTAACCTTAGTGTTTGTGTTCTGTCTATAGAATGTTTATAATATTCTCTCTGCCAGAACAGTTCGCTGACATAAACTATAGTCAGGAGTTGACAGCCTTCCTCGTCAAAAAATCCCTTGAAGGCCCCCATTAATGATTAACGTTTTTTTTATTTGTATCAAAATCCAAATATAAATAATCTCAGTTGTCGAGCTTGACCTTTCCAGTCCAGATTGTGTGTGTGCGCAGTTCTGTGTGTTTTTACGTTGTGCGTCTCATGGTCCACGTGTGTACTCTAATTATCATAAACAACATTATATAACCGGTAGTATAACATGACATAGCTGTCAGATATTCACTGCACTTCTGGAACCATTTGGCACAATGTGGTAATTCAGGTTGGAATTGGAAGGTCCGAAATGAATCCCACACAATGCGTCCTGCTTTTTTACTGGGTAAATCATGTTTATCTAAAAGTGCATTATTGACAAATGTTTACGTGTGTTTACTTTTGCTTCTTAGAAAAGTAAGAAATGTGTTGATAATTCAAACTTACTGTGGAAATATTCTTTTTTCATATTTATAAAGGGCCAGGGAATTTAACAAGAATACTCCCATTTGCAGGAACAGTCTGACACATTTCTATGAGAATGCATTTGTTTATTTTTGAGGGAAGGGAAAAGCTTTACCTCATCAAGCTGCTCATCGCTCGACAAGATAAAGGGTACGGTATCGTTGATTTCTACTGAAACACTGAATATCTGAAGTTTGTTAGATATTCCTGACTAGTTACACACAACTTTAACTTTAGACAATTACTTTTCCAATGAAACAAGAACTTATTTCTTATCCCAATGGCCAAAAGTTCTTGTTTAAATTAAAATGTGTAAAAACTTGCCAGAAACATCTTAAAGCAGGTGAAACCTCTGAAGTTATGTTAGGTCCTCTGGATACTAACTGTTTCACTGAGATCCTACCTCCTCAAGTCACTCATGACTCGACAATATACAGATCTAGTTTAGTGTTGTGTTAGCGTGATGCTAGCTTTGTCCTGAACACCACGTCTAACACTAATGTCAGTGTTGGTTTTAGAAAGGCAAGGCAAGGCAAGGCAAGTTTATTTGTATAGCACAATTCATACACAAGGCAACTCAAAGTGCTGAACAAGATAGCATTAAAATCATAAATAATCACAGAACATTAAAAAGAAAGATAAAAATATAAAATCCCTCAGTTGTATGCACAGCTAAACAGCACCGTTTTTAACTTGGTTTTAAACATTGTCAGAGAGGAGGCCTGTCTCACATCTTCAGGAAGAATGTTCCAGATTTTAGCAGCGTGAATCTGAAAAGCAGCCTCCCCATGTTTAGTTCTGACTCTGGGCACTAACAGGAGTCCAGTCCCTGTGCTCCTCAGAGTCCGGGCTGGTTCATATGGGACTAACATGTCACTAATATATTTTGGTGCGAGGCCATGGAGAGACTTGTACACAGGCAAAGCTGTTTTAAAGTCTATTCTCTGAGCCACAGGAAGCCAGTGCAGAGACCTGAGGACCGGACTAATATGGTCGTACTTCCTGGTTCTAGTAAGGACTCGAGCTGCTGCATTTTGAATGTACTGCAGCTGTTTTACAGCCTGTTTGGACAGACCTGTGAGCAGGCCATTGCAGTAGTCTAACCTACTGGAGACAAATGCATGGATAAGAATCTCCAAGTCTGCTTTAGACACTATGTTTTTGATCCTGGAAATGTTTTTTAGACTGTAAAAAGCTGCTGATGTTACTGATTTGATGTGGCTATTAAAATTTAAGTCTGAGTCCAGTATTACCCCTAGATTTCTGACCTTGTTTGAAGGTTTTAGGGAGAGAGACTGTAGATGACAGATGACGCTCTCTCTTTGTTTCTGGGGACCAAAGACAATCACATTTGCCTCCACTTACTGATCTGGTGGATACAGTGAAGGAGTGAGTCCACTGGTCCATGTTCTCCTGCAGTCAGTGAGACATAGATCTGAGTGTCGTCTGCATAGTTATGATAGGATACTTCGTTTCTGCGTATTAACTGACCTAACGGCAGCATGTAGAGATTGAAAAGAAGAGGTCCCAGGATCGACCCCTGTGGTACTCCACAGGTCAGGGCCATATGATCTGAGACACAGTTTCCAACTTAGGGCGGTGCCAGCGACGCCAACCCAGTCCTCTAGTCTCTGTAAGAGGATCTCATGGTCGACGGTGTCAAAGGCAGCACTCAGATCTAACAGGATTAGGATTGAGACTTTGCCTGCGTCAGTGTTTAGCCGGATATCGTTTGTAACCTTGACGAGAGCAGTCTCAGTGCTGTGGTGGGGTCTAAAGCCGGACTGAAACATATCAAATGAGTTGTTGATTATAAGAAATCTATTTAGCTGTTGGTAGACAACTTTTTCAAGGACTTTCCCCATAAATGGCAGATTTGAGATGGGACGGTAGTTGTTAAGTACCGTAGCATCCAGACTGCTCTTTTTAAGCAGGGGCCTGATGACTGCAGTTTTCAGGGCCTTTGGGAATATTCCAGAATGAAGGGACATGTTTACTATCTGTGTGAGTGAAGGTAACAGACTGCTCAGAACAGACTTTAGAAATATAGTGGGTAGTACATCCAGGCTACATGTGGAGGCGCTCAGACTGGAGATTATCTCTTGGACAGTTTGATCATTTACAGGTGCAAAGTAAGTTAGCTCAAAGAGCCTTTTAGGCTGTTGGATGGTTATCTGTGGATTGGAGACAATGGCGTTTTTGATGCCTTGAACCTTGTCATTGAAAAAATGTGCAAACTCATTACATTTACGTTTGGAAGTTAGCTCTAATGGCATCTGAACTGAGGGGTTTGTTAATCTATTAACTGTTGAAAACAGAACACGCAGATTGTTGCTGCAGCCTTCAATCATTTCAGAAAAATACCTTTCTCTCGTACTACGTAGCACCTGGTTAAACTCGCACAACTTATCTTTGAAGATCTCGTAATCAACCTGGAGGTTGGACTTGCGCCACTTCCGCTCGGCCCTCCGGCACTCTCTCTTTTGTGCCCTGACCGAGTCTGCTTTAGCCCACGGCGCCTTCTGCTTATTTTTCACTATTTTAACCTTCACAGGAGCGATGGTGTCCAGAACATTCAAAACACTAGAGGTGACAGAGTTAAACAGTTCATCTACAGTAGAATACGATGCATTCTCAAAGTTTATCATTCCCATAAATAGTTCACCCGTATTTTCATTTATGTGTCTTCTTCGTACAGTTGCAGAGTCCACTGGTGGTTTGTTAGTGAAACACATGTCAAAAAATACACAAAAATGATCCGAAAGCGCAACATCGACCACGTTTACATTTGAAATATTCACCCCCTTAGTAACTAACAGGTCTAGAGTGTGCCCTCTGCTGTGGGTGGGGCCACTCACATGCTGAGTGAGACCAAAAGATTCAAGAACAGAACTCAGCTCTTTTGCCTTTCTGTCAATAACATTATCCACATGAATATTAAAATCCCCTGTAATAACTAAGCTATCAAAATCTGTGCATAAAACTGAAAGCAACTCCGTAAAATTATCAATAAATCTGTGACATGACTGCGGTGGCTTGTATAGGACAATGAAGAGTATTGGACGAGATTGTTTTTGTTGTATTTTAAAAGACACATATTCAAAAGACGGAAACTTCCCAAGACACATTCTATGGGAGACAAAGTGGTCTCTGAAAATGGCAGCTAAGCCTCCTCCTTTTTTGTTTCCCCGTATTTCAGATTCAAATTTGAAATTTGGTGGTGATGCTTCTATTAAAACTGCATTTTCTGTATTTTGGTCAAGCCATGTTTCAGCCATGAACATAAGATCTAGATTATAAGAACAAATAAAATTATTGATTAAAAAAGACTTGTTACAAAGAGATCTGACATTTAGCATAGCAAGTTTCAAAGTTTCAGTATCAGCGGTTGTGGTCGGCTGATTCTTACACGGAACAAGAATTAGATTTTCCTGATTAGACTGATTAACTTCAGATGTTTTTCTGTAATGTATTCTTTGTGTTATCACTAAAGGAATGGCACAGGTGGCTTCATGACAGGGCCCCAGCCGGTTCTCTCCTCTAACTAGACTGCTAGTGGCTGCGAAGCAGAGACCCTGTGCATCCTAGTGTTTAGAGAAAAGAGGGGAAGGGGAAGGTGGGGGAAGAGGATGGAGAGGCAGGTGGTTCTTGGGAGTTGGACGGGGGGGGGGGTTGAAGGTGGATGGGTTTTTGGTGATGGGTTAGGGGAGGGGCAGGCTGAGTTGGGTGGTGGACGAGGGGGGAGTGGAGGTGGAGGGTTTCTTGGTGCTGGGTTAGGGGGGAGGTGGGCTAAATGAGCAGGAGGGGGGGGTGGAATACTTATGGGGTTAGAGGAGGGACGGGTGGATTTTGTGGGAGAATTTGAGTTGGACGCCCTAGGTGGCTTTGGAGGTACGTATGGGGAGTAGTTTTGAATGTTAGATAGGACTCTTGATCACCACCAACTCCTCCTCCTCTTCTTCTTGTGCTGCCCGTTGACCTCGTCCTGGAGCTCATGAACCTGGAGCTCCAGAGCAGTGCTGTAGTCCTGAGAGGAGGTCAGGTCCTCAGACAGCTTCTGTACCTGCTGCTCCAGGATCAGCCGGCTCTGTTTCTCTGAACACAGCTGTTCTCGGTGGAGCTGCTGAAGCTTCTCCTCGAGGACTTCCTAGACGTCTCTGTTGCAGGCAGGACTTTCTGTAGTATTTTTCATGTGGTTCCTCTTTAGTTCCTCCACCTCACTCCACAAAGCCTCATTCACTTGTTTCTCCTTGCACAGGGCCTGTCTGAGCTTGATCAGCTGATCTTTCAGACATTTCTCCTCTTTGGACCTCTGGGTGACTGTATCCTTGAGGGCCTGGGTTTGTTTCTCTTTCCATCACCTCTTCCTCGAGGTCAAAGTTGGCAACTTTAAGGTCAGCGATCTCCGCACACTAACACTGTGCTTTGATGGTCCTAATCTGCTCCTGTTGAGTCTGAAGCTTCTCTTTGAGCTCCTCTACCAGCTGCAGCAGAGCAGTCTGGGAGGTCTGGGCCTTTCTGGTGGCCTGCTTCTCCTGGTTCAGGGCAGATCTTAGGGCGGACACTTGTGTCTTCAGTGCGTGCGTCTCTCTCTCCTTCTCTTGCAGTTTGCTCACAGCTTCACTGGTGAGACACTTCTCTTGGTCCAGGGCAGATGTGAGAGAGTCCAGTGTTGTTGACAGTTTCTGCGTCTGTGTCTGCAACTGCTCCACATGTCTCTGTGCTGTGACTGTGGCCTGGTCTCTCTCACTCAGATCTGACTGGAGTTGGGTCACCTGACTCCTCAGTGCCTCCTTCTCCTGCAGATTCAGATTCATTTTATTTGCCATTTGCAGTAAAAACACCACATTGGAATACATTAGCAAAAGTCACCAGTGTGCACAGACAAATAAAGACATAAAACAACATTAAAAGACAAAAATAAAACAAATAAAACAGTAAACAAATGTCACTGTGAAATCGATCGACTAAAACAGTCATCCAGTGCTCGCACTGAGCCTGGTGGCGAGATTTGAAGGCCCAAATCTCGCCTGGATCCCGCACTACTTCCAGTTTGAGGTTCTCTATCTGTGTGAGAAGCCCTTCCTGGGAGGCTTGGTTCCTCTGCTGTTCCCTCTCCAACTGTTGCTTCAGTTCTTGGTTCTGTCTGAGCAGATGTTGAGAGAGGGCCTGGTCCTGCGGAGAGTCCACAGACACAGTGTTTGTAAGCCTTATAGGAAGCGGCGGCTGGTTCGGGCGTGGCGTCCACCGTTGCCTGCGTCGCGATCTGTGGCTCATGTCAACGTTTTTGTTATGAAACTCCATGTTTCGTTCTGTTCTTCTGACTTCTGAAACTTGTGGTATTGTCTGAAGAGATTTCCCTCACATCAACTCAAACTCCAGGTAGAACCTTAACAATGTCATAATGCTGATGTCAGAGTTACCATAGCAACAGCTGGTTTCCATAGTTACCAATATTACATTCAACCACTTTGTAGTTATTATTATCCCCAGTTAA